GTGCGTGCAGTTTCGGCTTAAGTCCAAAAAACATCATCCGAATATCCAACGCATGTCGGGCCAATGCCTTGTAAGCACCCAGGAATGTCTGTAGATTTATAGAAAGACGCTGCGCACACGTCCGAGGCAGAAACACGGCGTGTGTGTAACAGACTCTCAACACAGCCAGCAGGTGCCTTGGCTGATGCTTTGGGGCAGCAGTCTCGGAACAACATTGCAACATGTATTTACAAACACCATCACAACCCGACAAAAGCTGTACCTTGGGGTCAGACTACACAAGCGGACCTGATAACTGTGAAGTCGAGTACCAGAGACGTTGGTTAACTTACATATCAGTATTCAGTTAAGGCGACTGTGCCAAGATGCTTCGTCGCCGACTGTAGCAGTCGGAGCAGCTTTCGGTGCTGCTTCCCAGATTCCGAAGGATTCGTCAGCTCCACCGACACGAACCAGTGTAGGTACCGCACCAGCAGTACTGTGTCCGAGGCCTTGGTGTTTGTCCAAGCAAAGTCTGTCAGGCGCTTCTGCAGGTTGAACAAAGCAGGGCTGAAGTAGCGAAGCGCAGCAGATTCATTGTTCGCACTCAGCCAAAGCTTGAACGAAGCGTGTGCCCGGTGCAGTCGGTCGTTAATGTTGGTGTAGTCGCCCGGAGCATCGAAGAAGCTGAGACGACACAGCAGCGCAATGCCTCCTGCCAGGTCGCGAGCGATACCGACTTTCACGACATGAAAAAGGTCGAGTCGGATGAAGCGCTCTGGTGCGCTTTCATCGAATGGCACTGCGGAGAGTGGTGGAGCGATATCCCATGGTCTGCTCGCATACATAGTTCTGGACCACAAAGGGTCGGAACTGATGTCTTCCCATGGGAAGCCACTCTCTCCTGCTTGGCACATCGAGCAGATGCCCTGGTCACCCGCTGCAGTCACCCGTGCATAGGACCTTCTCAAGTTGAAGACGACTTGAGCATGGTGCTTCATGTCGCCTTTGCACCCAATGAACGCCACGTGATACCTCTTGTTGGATATCAATAGTCCAGATTCGAAGAGGCTTTGCGCTTCGGCAGCGACCAGGTCCATCATGAGAGGATAGATCTCTGGATGATCCTTGTAGACAAAGTCTGGTATGCCGAAGAGGACGTGGCGAGTCAAGTAGGAGTGCCTCTTGACTGTGGAAGCAAACTTTGCAGCCAAAACACTTTCAGGCTGCTGTGCCACTGGACCGTAGCAGTCGGGAACTTCCTGGCGGAGTGGCGCAACGACCGAAGCACAGTCACAAGTAACCTGCTCAGCATCGTACTCGTAACAACCCATTGGACTCCTTCGTGATCGATCTCACATGCAAAGCAATACTTAACACTGCTAGGTTCTACGAAACGGCAAACAAATAAAATGGTGCATGTTGTTTCAGGCAGCTCAATGGTTGTAACCATATAGTTCCCACGACGAGGGCCTTGGTTGTAACCATATAGTTCCCACGACGAGGGCCTTTGCCTTCATCCCCGTAGAGCAGCAAGGGCAGCGTAGTAGACAGCTTGTCTTCATTGTGGAATACAACGTGATCTGGGTGGTGCCATTTGTACATGGTCCAAAACGCACGGCACTGAGACTCCAGCTTCTCAGTTCCTGCGCCAGCCAGAAGGCTGGGTGTCTTCAAGAGATACTTTACCCAATCAGCGATACGGATGTAGTGCATCTCCACTGCCTCTCCATCATCCACAGCGAATGTCTTCGTGCGAATAGGCAGCTTGAGCGACAGACCAAGCCTTGAAAACAGGCGGTGAGCATCCCGCTCAGCATTCTTGGGTGCTGGCTGTCCCCCATCCTCTTTAGGAGGAGGCGGTGGCTTGCCTAGCGCAGCCGTGTAGCCTCGCTTCACAGAGGTCGCGGAAACCTGAGTTGCAAAAAAAACCTCCAAAAACCTAAGGCGCAACGTTAAACCCCACCGCACAACGAAACCCTAAACCCCAGGCCATACACTCCAAAGATTAAAACACGTATCTGGGGACCCTATGCCCCCTTAACCCTGAACCCTCATGGGCAGGAATTTCTACAAACCAGACCCCGGAACCTTGAACTTCCAGACCACAAAGCCCTCTCGAACCGCAGCAGCGAAACTACAAAGCAGCAAAGTCCGCTGAAAACCCCAACCCATCTGATTGCATCGGGGACCACGTTGGCATTTCAGGGTTCATTGCTTGTGGAGTTTCAACTTCGAGGTGAAATGCTAGGAACTCGTAAACATCAGTATAGGGTTTAGGGTTTAGGGGTTTAAGGTTTTGCGGATTTAGGCTCACCGGACAGTAGCCACAGAGCCTTGCCCTCGCCAAGCATCTCCGCGAACACAGAGAGATCTTGCGCAGCAACATCGCCCGAAGTTACATTGGCACCTGGCAAGACTGCCGTAAGTTTAGGATAGTCTGTAGGTGTAGTGGGTTTTGCAGGGTCGGGATCAGTGGGTCGGGTCTGGTGTTTGATTACGATCATTAACACTGAGCCTCTGAAGTTGCGAGGATGGTTACTTGCTACTCCGCTCATGTAACATGAAAGTATTCTCGATCTCGCGGGTTTGAAGGTTGCAACCAGGATCAGGGACGATCGGATCCACCGGGGCTTGAAGCTTTTGAATGGCTAGGGCCGTGGGTTTAAGAGATCGAAGATTAAGCGGTTCATGGTAGATACACGAGCTATTGATTTACAGATCCTATGACTTGCCGTGGTATGAAGTGTGGGCTTACAGCAAGGAGACAGCTTTCAACTCGTAGACTTTTGAGGCTTTCGGGACTCTTGTTTAGTATAATTATTCTGCACTCTCGGGTTTTTGGGGCTTTGCATGGGTTACCTAATGCCTGCAGTAGTAGGGTTTACCTCTAAGGCCTATGTTGCTTTTCTGGCACACACAGAGACACCCCGCTGCAGCTGGAGTTTGTCCAGATGAATTACCTGGGTTTGCAAGCCATGGATCATACCACAGCAACTGAGGTACCTTCGGCAAAAGATGCATCCTAAGACATGATGCGCTTCGGCAGCAAGCAGTCTTGCCGAATAAAGATCGATGGCTGCCTGCGGCCCATTTTGGCATCAGCAACATCCTAGATGTTCCAGTGGTTCGAACTCAGAAGTCTACATACACATATTATGCAGATCAGCCATACACTAGAGGAGAACCTAACAGGCTCGAAGGCTCGAAAGCGCAAGATCACTTCTTGGCCCTCTTCTTCGGAGTCGGAGAGCTAGGGGCCGGGGCTTCCTCTCGCTTGCCATTGCTTTTGGCCTTTGCCTTGGCCTTGTTCTTGGGCTTCCCACGATTGGGCTCCTCCGCCGCTGCCACTGGCTTGGGAGCCAAAGTCCTCGATCGGGCAGGAGCATAATGGAGGTTGTCATCTCAAAAAAAAATTCGATATAAAGATTAACAGAAGTAGCAAATAAGTAGCATGAGCGTGCCACCGTCGCTAGGAGCAATGATAGATGCCGCTGAAGCAATTGCAGTAGCACTCGCAGTCGCAGCAGCAGCAACAGCAGCAGCAGCAGCGCATGAATGAAATGTGGCATTAACATTATCGTTCGTATTCTGACATGAGCAGCAGTAACCATAGCCAGACTAGCCACCCTACTCCCCAAGTGTAGTCGTAGTGGTAGTGGTAGTAGTAGCAGTATTAGTCGTAGTCGTAGTAGTGTAGCAGCAGTAGTAGTGGTAGTCGTAGTAGTCGTAGTAGTCGTAGTAGTAGTGGTAGTAGTAGTAGTAGTAGTAGGAGTAGCAGCAGTAGTAGTAGTAGTAGTAGTAGAGTAGTAACATGTTGCTCTGCTTATTGGGGGACACTTAAAACATGTTGCTCTGCTTATTGGGGGACACCCAAAACATGTTGCTCTGCTTATTGGGGGGACACCCAAAACATGTTGCTCTGCTTATTGGGGGACACTCAAAACATGTTGCTTTGCTTATTGGGGGACACTTAAAACATGTTGCTACGCTTATTGGGGGACAGTTAAAACATGTTGCTCTGCTTATTGGGGGACACTCAAAACATGTTGCTCTGCTTATCGGGACCCAAAACATGTTGCTCTGCTTATTGGGGGACACCCAAAACATGTTGCTCTGCTTATTGGGAGACACTCAAAACATGTTGCTCTGCTTATTGGGGGGGACACCCAAAACATGTTGCTCTGCTTATTGGGGGACACTCAAAACATGTTGCTTTGCTTATTGGGGGACACCCAAAACATATTACTGGGGGACACAAACAAAACACGTTGCTTCGCTTATTGGAGGAGCATGCGCTCAACATAATCCCAACCCCGAGCCAAATCCCAAGATGTCTACTTTTACTTCTTCGGTTATGATACTAAGGGTTTAAGACTAGTTGGTTTCTTTGATATTATCTGCAGGCTGAGGGTTTGCGCTCTCCTTCTTGTAACCACACTAAGCCCCCGATTTCCATTCAAGATAAGAAGCTTGGCACGATCAACGGTGCACATGGCCTCAATGAGCCTGGCATCCGGACGGAAAGAGATAGAGAGACAGAAACAGAGAGAAGGAGAGAGAGTGCGAGGGACTGGAGCAACGTCATGTCTGATACCAGCCATAAGACGAACAGGAGCTGTATCGGAAACAACAACTCGACCTACCCTTGAATGAAGACTTGGGCCAACCGAGGTATGCACCTGCTCTTCACATCGATGAACATCTTGCGCAGCTGCTTCTGCTGCCTCATGGCTGTGGAAGGGAGGCAAGCACAGGTCTGGCAAAGATAAACTTGCGTGCGATTGTAAATCCAAGTATCTCTTTCCTGAAGCCATGAATCATGCCCGCAGAGTAGATCTGCGACATCTCATCGTCGTACCCTGAGATTGAGCCCACCAGCTCAATCAACTTCTCCAGCATCCTTGAGAGTTTCAATGATTTCAAATTATGTAGAGGAGCACACGTTTGTCGCCATGCATCAACTTTGCTGTCACACACGAAGAGTATCCTAAGATCGATGCTTCTCTTGTTGCCCGGATTTTTTCTCCACAGCCTGAAGCCTTGAGGCCACATCGCTCACTTTCTTGACAACCGCTTGTGCACTTTTCACCATCCGGCTGCAAATCTCCGAAGGCTTCTGGTCAGTCTCGATGTCCGGGCACTTGATTGATCTCAAGATTTTCCCTCTGTCTTCGTTCTCACTCTCGGAAGAGACACTCTCAGCCTCCATCTGACCTTAGCTACGAATAACCAGCAGCCTGATTACACAAGCTCACGAATTGACACAGTCGAAATTCGGACTTTAACTTCCAGCTACGACACCCTCGCCATCATCCTCGTGCTCACCTGGGTCACAATCCTCATCCATCTCTTCAATCATATCATCCGCATCTGCGTCAGCTTCGCCCTCCAAGGCTTCCTGGAAGACCGTGCGCTTGGTGTGCCTGCAGTGGGCCCCGGCAGAGTCTATTTATACAACATGGTTTACAGCCGAGATCCGCGTTAAGGAGGTATGGCACCACAGGTTTGGGGGTTCAAGTTGGGACTCCAGGGCTTCGGGTGATCTTGCTCGTTCTCTACAAAATCAGTTGTCCTGCACATAGTAGTAGCCACGGGGCTTGTTGCTTCCATGAATCTTGACCGCCGCCCAGTACATCTCACCCTCTCCGTAGTCGCTCTGCCTGCCAGTGGAGACTAATACTATACAGCAAGCGCAACACAGGTCCAGCGGGTTTAGGGCTGTGGGGTAGGGATTGATTTGGGGTAGTCGAACACGATATCAGTTTGGGACAGGTGGTCCAAAGCCAAAGCCCAATTACACGATCGGTGATTGATTCCATGTAAACCCACGGGACCCGCAGCCTTCAACTTACTCTTGGGGTGGCCGGGGTAGTGGGGGGCTTAATTATGGGTTTAGGGGTTCGTGTTCTGCCTCGACCCAGACAACAGATCTAGAAGCTTGCTCTTGAGCTTCCCCTCCTGTTTCAGTAGTCCTGCTGATACTACTTAGTAGCAGTAGTAGTGGTCGTAATAGTAGAAGAGTGGTAGAACTGCTGACGCTAGTAGTTTTAGAGATAGCTATAATAAAAGCAATAGCAGCCGTAGCTGTAATAATCATCGCCCTAGTAGCACTACTTGCGCTAAGTTCGAAGCCAAGCCCTGAACCCTAAATCCGGCTATGTCCTGCTACAAAGAGTGGGAGACACACCAATAAATCAATAAGTCAACAAAGACATTATGCCAAATAAAACGTGAACAGAGACACAGAACTTTCCCTCTTGTTGTTGTTAAAGTAAGTATTACTATTCGTAGTAGCGTTAGTGGTAGCCACAGTAACTAGTAGCGCTGTTGCTCCAAAGCCCCAGACATTAAACCCTAGAAGCCTAAGTCCTCCGGTCCTAGGACCCGCAACCCGTGAATAAGGCTCAAACCCTGGCCATCAAAACCACACAACCTAAACCCTAAAACCCCCAGACCTAAGCCCTTATGTCCTCCGGTCCTAGGACCCGCAACCCGTTAATAGGGCCCAAACCCTGGCCATCAAAACCACACAACCTAAACCCTAAAATCCCCAGAAATAAGCCTTTATGTCACAAATCCTGGAAACCCTCTCTAAGGCTGTTGAAATGGCCTGATCCATCCAGGGCGCGAAGCACAATACCGCTTCACGTTCTTGCGCTTCTTCCTGAGCATTGAGACTGGGCTGCATGTAACCATGAAGCAAGGCAACGAGACGAAGCACAGTCGGTTAAGTTGTGGGGAGACGCTCCGACCATCCAGCTGCCTCCATGTCAGCATCCGTCATGAACTCATAATCGGTTTGAACCCACTTTTCGTGGACCCGCTCGTAGAGGTGCTTGATCTTCTTCACGAAGAGCTTCTGAGCGGATGATAGATGAATTCTCGTTTGAGTGAATATTTTTGGTTCGGGAGATCGACTTTAACAGGGCCCAAACCCGGCTGATGCTCATCATGCTCGCTTTTAGGGTGTCCAAAGTCGTCACGTAAATTTACATGACGACTCTTTGCGAAACATGGGTGTCCAACTTCCCACATCTTCTTTCCATGGGCTACTATCAAGTGGAGCAAAGGGCGAGGTGGGGCAGGGCAGGGCGGGGCTGCAACAGTTATCTGTGCATGAAGACATCGACAACTGCGGGAAAGACTATAAGGAAATGAAATTGAGCCCGAGAGGCTGGATCATATCCGAGTTTCTCGAACATGGACATCAAAGTCGGTCGGCGGTCCTTGTCCTTGTATGTGTCGATAACGTCTTTCGGGACCTTGTACTCCCCGTTTGCTCTCGGCTGCACGATCCTGTAGAGTCTGCGGTCCACGGCCGCCTTGGTGAGTTGCTTGGGCGGGTCTCTGCATTTGCCCAGCGCCGCTCGGTCGATGTCGTCCTCATCGGGCTCCTGCTTCACAGCAGCAGCAGCAGCAGCACTGCTTGGCCGCGCTGGGTGGCTGGACTCTGGCTCGGTTCTGCGTGCTGTGGGGCGTGGCGCTGGGTGCCCGGACTGCGGATCGGTTCTGCGTGCTGTGGGGCGAGGTGCTGGGTGCCGCTGGAGCGGCGGCTCCATTGCCGGTGCTGGTGGCGCGGGTGGCTTGGACTGTGGCTCTTGTGGCTCTGTTGCCGGTGCTGCGAGTGGCTTGGACTGTGGCTCCGTTGCCGGTGCTGCGGGCGGCTTGGACTCTGGCTCCGTTGCCGGTGCTGCGGCAGGTTCTTCTGGGTGCCCGGACTCTGGCTCGGCGAGGCTCGCAGCAGGTTCTGCTGGGTGCCCGGACTGTGGCTCGGTGTGGCGCGCTGCGGCGGGTGGCGCTGCCGGTGGCGCAGCGTGCCCGCAGCCTTTCCCAGTTCTCAGTCGCGGCGTGGCAACTCTAGCCACTGGCTGTTTGGCCTGTAGCTCCACTGAGTTGTTGGCATCCACGGGCCCGGGGCTCTCAACCTTGAAAATCTATTGGAGAAGCACCAGCAACTTATAAATACGGAGCACAAAGAAACACTGACATCCCCGGCCTGCGTCTCTTCTAGTGAGGACACAGCACTTTCAATCTGGGACCCTGTTTGCGAAGAGCGCCAGGAAGCCGGAGACGGCAGAGTCGGTTTGACTTCCGCTGCTGCCACCTTCAAAGCCTGGGGTACGACACACGGAAAAGGTTCACAACAGCCGACAGCCAAAGTCCAAAGGTATCTCATCTCGACAGACAAGCAGCCAAGAGCCGATCCTTCTCGGCCATCAGCTGAGCATATTCATCATCATGTTCCAACGACATGGTTTGGTGACGAAGGATGCCAGCACCCCGGCACAGACTCTCTGTGCTCAACACACGACTAGCAAGGGGTCGCATGCTAAAAGTACTCTCGAACCTGGGTGCATCGACAAGAAATGCTCTGAAAAGAAGGTTTTGGGGCATTGCTGCACATGGTGCGGGAGGCTCTCCGGGTATTTCCGCCGCAATGTCGGGTATTTCCGCCGCAATGTCGGGTATTTCCGCCGCAATTCGCGGATGCAAAAACGTCTCAAAACACAGCAATTGGTGTTTTGGCATCAAAATTATGTCTCCTCAGGCACAAAGCAGACCTCCGAATGCAACTGAACTACTTGACCTGCAATTGAGCTAGAAGCATTTCACCCCGAGGAGCATGGTATGCTTTCGGGCAGCACACGTCGCCACTCGTCACTCAGCTCTAAAACTTTCGAAGCTCGAGCATAGGCAATGCAGTCAGGGAGGCCTGCATCCTCCCACATATCATTGAACGTCATATCCCGAAAGAGCTCCGTGGTGCTCTTGTGTGAGGAAACCTGGCATGCATTCTCAGTTAAAGACATAAGAAAAAAACGGCCAGGCTAGCATGCTACAAAAAATGCAAGATGCCTCAAACCCCGCCCAGGAGCCCATGGAATCTTGGGCTTGGTCTGTAGCAATCTCGGTCTTAAACGTAGCAGCCTAGCTGCAAACTTCGGGGTGTACAGCCTGAGCTGTTCAAGAAGTGAACACAACCCCCCCATTTCACGATTCCGCCGCCACCACCACCACCGCCACCACCACCACCACCACCACCACCACCACCACCACCACCACCGCCACCCACCCACACGACCCACACCACCACCACCTCCCAGCACCCCCGCCACCCAAACCTGAAGCCCCCAAAATTGAATGCCTGGCCCAGCAGCTGGGATCGCTTGAGAAGAGGCGTGCCAGTAAAGCGCGTGGTGCCATATTTGTCCACGTATCTCTTCGTCATGACAGTATGCCTGGGATTTGGAACTTTCAGGGGTGAGTGTGCTCGTTGTAGAAAGAAGACATCAAAGGCATTGCTCCAGATCTTCGTTGGTTTCTTTGCGGCGTGGCCATAGATGCCCATATTGAATGAGGTGCGCCATACCTTGTATTGGTACGGGAGTTCTTCTATCTAGGTGTCAGTAAAGGAGAATACAACCCTACTCATCTCTGATTTGTTGCAAGCTAGCTACATACATGCGGCACCTTTTCAGAAAGCGAATGAGCCACTGCAAACGGTCGTGTTTGAACATAACACTGGAAGCTGGGTTTTCCACAACCCAGGCCCCACCCGCCATCTGGATGAGAAGGAGCAGGAGTGCCACCCTGCCAGCACAATGCACAACTATAGACTCCAGGCTGCAGGGGATGCTGGGTTGGGGGATTGGGGTTGGGTTTGTTTACAGCGTCGTCTGGTGCACCGTATACATTGTTGGGCTGGGTCTGAGGGTTGTGGCTTCAGCGAAGTGGTTTTCGCTTAGATTAGATACACTTGAGAACCGCAGGTCTCGCTGATGGGACTACTGCAACCCTAAAGCCAACAAATCTGTAACACCGAAGCGTAAACCCTTAACTCCCCTAAACCCAGAACCCACCGTCCTAGTCCCAGTCTTACTCCCCCAAGTTGTGCCTGGCAACCATTTGGTTTGAAGCTGCAACCGATGGGCGGCTTGGGTCTCCCATAGGAAGAGCCTCCGAACGCCGACTAGTGCCTTTGTTTATCGATACCCAAGAGCTGCAGCAAACTCCCAGCGGGCATAGCACGTCGTTCCATTTGGAATGGAGGATGCTCGCCAAAGCCAGCCTGGGATTTTGAGATAGGGAGAAAACTGAGAGCTACGTATCACAGCTCATTGCGTGGCAACTCCACTAGAAGAGCGATAGTAAGCAGCTGGCAGAAAACCAGATTCCCGATTGATATTGAAGGCGCTGTCAAGGTTGTCGTCGTATGATAGGTCATGCGCTTGCACCGTGAGATTGATGCTGGCAGCCAATCTACAGATCCTTCGTTGCCCTGCGAAGAACTCTACAACCTGATAATGAGAGCCTCCGAGGCCAATCCGTAGGGAAGCCACAAGCACCACCAGCATGATGAAAGCCTGGGTTGAACCAAGGTCTCGGCAAGCAGCTATGGGGTTTGAAACTTGGATGCTAGATCTGTTTGAGATGTTGGGAAGTGAGCACTGGTGGCTTCTGGGTCCCAGCAAAATACAACCGGCACAAATGAGGCAGGCAGCCTTTGGGGCTCCATAATGTATCAGTCGCCGGATAGTCTGATCGATCTGTTGAGCATTCATGGCGGTATCAGGAACGAGCTTCCTCACTTCGCATGCACTACCAGACTGTGTTTGACGATGTCTGCTGCAGCGTTACGGATGATCTGCAAACAGGCAACTTCGATACCCTGCTTTAATTTGGTTTTGCAGAACTGCAGAACTACAGAGCCAAGCCTTCCGTCATACAGCAGGACAAACAGGTTTGGGGGCGGACAAGACACGCGCATCATGAGCATCAGCGGTGTTGCATGGCAGTGCAATAACTGGAGCCGCTACCCCATGACCTCGTTGTTGAGTGGTGCATTAAGCAAATTCACTTCTGGGCCACGAAACCTCTGAACCATTAAATTCATAACCTGGATTCCAGTCACAGTGATCCAAACATCAGAGGAATGGGAATCCGAAGTAACCCTAAATCCTTGAGCGACAATAATACAATCCACACGGCCCCTAGCCCTATCCTGAATATAGCCCCAAACTCATCATCCCCAAATGCCCTGATTCACCCTGATTCTCCAGCCCAACACAGCCCAAATAAACATGGAGATCTGCACCGGATGAGGTATTGATCCCCCACTTGCAGAACGCTGCCAGTGGTCGCGGCGGCATCGGAGTGTACCTGGCAAGGATCTAGGATCAGCGTCAGGGTTGTTAGGGTTTGAGGATGCGTGGGTTCAGACTCTCCAGCTTCGGATGTTCGGACGCAGAGCCCAGATGTACTAAAGAGTATCAGCTGCAGACGAAACGAATCTTTTCACGCGCGCACTCTTGCCCTGATGTTGCTGATTGCTGCCTGCCTTGGCAACCCCAGCTTCGATGACGGTGTGTGTTCTAAGGCACTCCCCAGCCCAGTAGAAAACCAGAACTTAGTGCGAAGGATTCGGGGTTTGAGGGATATGGGGTTTGGGGGTTTAGGGGCTTTTGGGTTTAGGGGTTATTGGGTCGCAGCAAACCCTGAACCCCTGAACCCTAAACGCCTAAACCCTAAACCGCTAAACCCTGAATGATGAATGGGTGGGTGCTTAAGCAAGGGCTAGATTAATGGGGTGAGGCTTTCACTGTTCGGGGTTTTGATGGCTCTAGCGCTTTATGGCACAGGGCTTGGGTTATCAGGTTACACACCTGACATGAGCTGCCAAGCTGATTTTACAAAAAGGTTTGAAGTTTGAGTGCCGGGCACACTTGCATCGAAGGGCAGGCAACTCTGACTCACAGAGCATACTTATAAGTTTGTTTCATGTTGAAGGGGCATTCTTGATGCCCCGAAAAGAACACTCAAAAGTTCGTCTCAGACGAATTCGTCTCAGACTAAACCTGGCTCAACTCGTCGTCCTGCAAGTCCACGGAAGCAGAGCTCAGAGAATGCAGCTACTCCAAAAGCTGGCTAGCATTATGCATTACAAGGAAAGAAGGCCTTAGCATTGAACGGATCGTAGGAACTGGCGGGCCAGCTCGACGGCATGTTTCTCGAAATCACCCTTGAGCTCGAACCGCGCGAACTTCCAAAAGTCATCCTTCATGTCAGGATGTTGAATAAACAACATGAAGAGGTTCTTTTCCAAGACTACTTGTGCGTGTGGAGCAATCGGTCCTGCAATGTGGATGGATTGGGTAGCTCTCCTGCAATTCCCTCGAAAGCCTTCTTGACAGCATAGAAGGCAACCCTGGACGGATCCGTTTTGGGTACCCGCCGACCGGCGAAGGTGTCTTGGGTGCCCTTGGGTGCCCGAGGCTTCTTAACGCGATCATCTTTCCCGGAAGCTTCCTCATCCGCCTTTCTCTTGTTGCTGGGTTTGCCCTTGCTTTGCGGCTCAGCCGTGGCTTTTGCAGCGGCCTTTGCTTTGGCTTTGGACTTTGCCTTCGCCTTGCCCTTAGGCGAAGCTTTGGGGTTCGGTTTTGTTTTGCTCTGCTGCTCCTTTGGCTGGGGCTCCTGATTCTCCTTCTCCTCCTTGTCCGATCCCTCTTGCTCAGTTGGGA